AGCTGGGTCTGGGGGAGAAACGCCTGGTGGGGGATTGAGCACAGAGAACCGGCCCCTGAGCCAGAGCGTCATTCCATTCCCTAAGGGACGCAGATCCCTGACAGGGGGAGTCCCCGGGCACCTCGGGGAGGGTGTTTTGGGCACGAGGAACCTGGAGGGGATCCTTAAGGGCCCAGAATGGACCCATAGGCCGCCTGAGTCTCCAGCCCACACAGGTGTCTTCTTCCCAAGGCACACGAAGACGGCCAGTGTCCCTGTCCCCAAGCCCCACCCCGTGGATCAGGCCAGTCCGTGCCCGTGAAACAGGCTTCCCTGCAAATGGGGCCAACGACACGGTGGCCCCACCGAGATGGGACCGCTCTGGCCCCACTTCCCTCCTGGTCCCCCTTTCCCTCTGCACCGTCACAGCTCAGGCAGCATCCGCCGGAGAAGCCGGAAAATTGTCCCCCTGCAGGCATCAAGGCCAAGGCCCCTCTCCCAGGGGGTCCTATGTTCCCCCGTAGGTGACAGGAGGGAGCACCAGGGTCTCTCATGTTCCCGGAGCCGCAGGAGCTGGCCGGGCCGACAGGACTTGCCTCGCCTTTGCCCAGGCAGGTGCCAGGTCCCAGCAGGCCCTTGACTGCCCGGGGAAGTGGCAGGAGTGACCCTTGGACTGAGGAGCTGGGAGAGAATTGCCCTCGGACCAGGCCTGCCCTGCGCACTGCAGGGTGCTCTGAGGAGGGCAGAAGGGGGGACCCAGAAATCTGGCGGACGAAACTGGGTCCACTTCCTCCCCAGAGAGTGCGCTCAGGGCTGTGCCCGTCCACCTCCTTGTCAGCCTGTCTGCTCTCAGCGCCGGGGTCCGAGCCCCTGGGAGGTGGTCTGGAGGCCGGATGAAGCCTCAGCTTTGTTGCCAGACAGACGTGGGTCCCAAGCCCATCCCTGCTCACTGCACCGTCTGAGTGTCTGTCCTCACCTGTCCACGGGCTGCTGACACCTGCGCCTGGCAAAGCCCTGGCTCAGGGCCGCCCTCAGCGAACGGAGACCAGGAATTCCAGGGCTCTCAGTCCCTGACGAACTTGAACATCACAATCACCTCTTCCGGGCCTCAGAGTCAGACAGACACACGCCCTGTTTACCTCCCTGGGGCCTGCCTGACTTCAGGTTCCTGGGCCCTGCAGGGCACCCCTGAGCGGTCCCCACCCACGGCTCCCACCCTCCCTCACTGACACACCCGCGTGGTCCACCTCGGGCTTCCGGAGTCCCACTCACCTGGTCCGTCTCACACTCCCGCTTGCAGGTGCTCTGGGCATCCACCCAGAGGTTGGGGTTCATGTCGTTGGGGCAGATGCCAGCGTGGGAATAGCGGATGGGCGGCAGTGCCAGGCCTCGCGGGGGCACCCCGAGCAGGAGCAGCAGCACCGCCACCCGCCCCCAGCGGGAGCAGAACCGGTG